TAGAGAACTAGAGAACTAGAGAACCAGAGAATCAGAAAACCAGAGAACCAGAGAACCAGATAACAAGAGAACTAGATAATAGAGATCTAGAGAACTAGAGAACTAGAGAACCAGAGAACTAGAGAACCAGAGAACCAGAGAATCAGAGAACTAGAGAACTAGATAATAGAGAACTAGAGAACCAGAGAATCAGAAAACCAGAGAACCAGAGAACCAGAGAACTAGAGCACTAGAGAACTAGATAATAGAGAACTAGAGAACTAGATAATAGAGAACTAGAGAACCAGATAATAGAGAACTAGAGAACTAGAGAACTAAAGAACTAAAGAACCAGAAAACCAGAGAACCAGAGAACCAGGGAACCTGAGAACTAAAGAGCATTGATTCTAATTTTTAAAACTGTTTAGATCGGTGTGAATTAGGCCATTTAACAAACAAACGATTAAGTTATAATTAGAAAGAGTAGAGTGTAGATTTAGGATCTAATATAATTAAAATTAGCGTGGTACAGGTGTTGCACACTCAATTAAAAGAAAATTAATATTAAACTAAAAATGAAAAGATTTACAGATAAATGGAAGAAACTTGAGAGGATGTTCTCAGATCTAATAAAGAGACAGATAGATAGATAGAAAAACAGACAGACAGATAGATAGACAGATAAATAGACAGAGAAACAGATAAGACACATACAAATATAGATAAACAGAGAGACAGATAGGATATATAAACAGATAGATAAAAATTTAGATAAACTGACATGCAGATAGATAGACAGATGGATAGACAGATAGCTAAACAGATAGATAGACAGATGGATACAGATAGCTAGACAGATAGCTAGACATATAGCAAGACATATAGCTAGACATATAGCTAGACAGATAGCTAGATAGATACCTAGACAGATAGATAGATAGATAAACATATTCTCAAATGAACACTTCTGGAACATATTCTCAAATGAACACTTCTGGGATCTCGAAAATTATGAATGAATTTTTATTGTCAATTGAAACATTAATCAATCTAATATTATTTAGAATGCAGAAAATAAGTTAAACTAACTTCATTTTGACGAGATTTTTTTTGTAATTTTCATGAAAAATTTGCTGAAATGAGTGAAAATAAAAAAACCGGTGTATTTCCAGGATTAAAATCCGTACAATCCGTACAATTTGAAAAAAAATCCGTACAATCCGTACAATTTTAGGGTTACAAAATAAAAAATCCGTACAATCCGTACATTTTCGCCACCCTGCATTTAGAAATGCGGAAAATCTACCAGTTTCCTGTGAATTTCCAAATTAACTTTTTTCAAATCTTTTATAATCAAGATTTACATAGATTTACGCAAAAAAACAGGAGTCCAAAATCTCTAAGATGAGATTTTTAGGGATTTTGTAAATAATTTGTTGAGATATGGGGCGTACACAGGATTTTGTCCAAGTGAGGGATTACATTTTTCTATTGAGGGGGAGCTGAGGACCGGCAGGGTTGGCTGTGTTCCACGGTTTAATTTAACTACAAGGAGATAGGAAACCTAGTTTAGATCTGTCAAATAAGGCCTGTCAGCGTAATTTCAAGGATTTACAACGGTACTCTTAAAAGCGTTGTCTGATCAAGTATGAATTAGATATCAATGTGTTTGTTTCTTTAAATTGTCAATTTTTATTTGCGGGTTTTCTGCGAAAGTGACTTAAGTAGAAATTATCAAAATTAAATAAGGAAAACGAGGGCATTTTCCAAATTTTTATCCGATGTAGGATCTCTTTAAAATACACGCGCAGTCCCTTTAAGAAGAACTTACTGATTAATGTTGTCTGCACAGGCTGCTTGAGCTTCTAATCGTCCAGATAACTGATCAATTTCGTCCACGCTATCCGGGAATCCAGCCTCAAACTCAATTTTAAAATCCATTTANTCAAATCAAATCAAATCAAATCAAATCAAATCAAATCAAATCAAATCAAATCAAATCAAATCAAATCAAATCAAATCAAATCAAATCAAATCAAATCAAATCAAATCAAATCAAATCAAATCAAATCAAATCAAATCAAATCAAATCAAATCAAATCAATAATGAAGTGAGGTTTTACGATTTGTACTCTTTGTTTATTTTCTTTGTTGATTTTCTAAATAAACCGGAATTGTATTAATCGATTAAAGAATTAAAAGTCGTCTTTTAATCGTGTAAATAGTTTGCGGCATTCATCATAGGGCACCTAATTTATTCTTATTCCAAGGTCAAAGACGAGTCTTTAATTAATTAAAATTATTCTGGATTATTTAGAATAGTACTGTATTGTTGCACTTTATTTGTCACTTCATTTTTCATAACAGGAAATAACAAGTGTCTAAAGATGTGTTTTTAACGAAATAGAATTAAATAATAAAATTTACATCTTGTACCTCTAGTTTTTTTTAAAATAAAGAAAAAACTTGTAAAAAAATATTCGTGAGTAATATACCTGATCCCAATAATCCTGTATTTCCTGCGGAGGTTTATCCTTAGCTCCCTTATTCAATCCTGTAGTTTTCTTCGCCTCCCTTCAACCAGGGATTCAGTCAAATATTTTTTAGTAATTTCTGCCAGATGTAAAACCTAATTTTCTAGCTTATTTCATTTACTCCAATAATATTTGAGACCGATTTTATATACTCCAATAATATTTGAGACCGATTTTATATACTTCAATAATATTTGAGACCGATTTTATAATCTCCAATAATATTTGTGGCCGATTTTATATACTACCATAATATTCGTGGCAGATTTTATATACTCCAATAATATTTGTGGCAGATTTTATATACTCCCATAATATTTGTGGTAGATTTTATAAACTCCAATAAAATTTGTGGCAGATTTTATATTATTATTATAAAGATTTATTCACACACAAAGATATAAATACATATATAAATGGTGTAGTTAATCAAATCCCTAGTTCTTAAAGCAAATTAAGTCGAGTTGCAAAAAGGAAGAAAACAAGAAAAGATTTGGAGATTGTAAACTTAAGAAGATTTGGTGGAATGAAGGAAAGGATTTATAACCCCCCCTTTTAAATTTCGTGAAAGCATCATGAACAAATGTAATGCCTAAAATACAAGGTCTTAATTCGAACATATACATGTCACCAATAGCCGGCCAAACAGCTGGACCGAATAGGCTGAACTTTCTTATGGACACTCATGGGTGGGGTCCATAAAAACGCGGAAACTTATAATTCCGTTTTTTTGTTCTTTAAAAATCTAGGTATTTTTGAGGCTTCTGACTGGGTACAAACCCATCAGCCATGGGCCTGCACTTGGTTCAGCTGTTTCTACAAGAAAAGAGTTACCTCAGATTCGCAATCTTCTCCTCCTTACTATCAAGAGATTTCTTCAAGGGTAAAACCAAGAGAGCTTTCAGATCCTTCTGAGTTCTAGCTCTACAGCTTTCCTGTATACTTCGCTGTAGAAGCTCAACAGCTTTCACCATGTTACTGATGGACTTCTTCTTCTTCTCCTCCAGCTCAATCTTCTCCCTCTCCTCTTCCTCGTTCGACATCGCTTCCCTTCACGGTTAAGATTTCAATAAAAAATAAAAAATGCGCAAATAAACCGGTAAAATCCGTAAAATATGTCAAAATCAAATTTAAATAGATTGTAGATTTAATTAAATCTTTTTCTAAGGTTTGGGAATCAAAAAAAACTTTTGGCTCAAAAGTCATTCACTCCAAAAAAAGGTCCAAATTCGGCAACAACAAAAAATACAATTGAGTTGGCGCTGCGCACGATGAATTTATCAACAAACCTGAGATGTCGTCTTTGATTTTCAATCATGGCGGTATTCTTGGCGACTAGGTTCTTCTGCTGTTCCAACTCTCTTTGTTCCTTCCTTCGTCTCTCGAGTTCGACACTGAAGAAAACAGTTGAAGAAAGTTGTTTTCAGATAATGAAAAAACTGAACGTATACCTCCACTGCTAACAGTTTAGCTGAACAGATATCTGCACTGTTGACAGCTTAACTGAACTGATACCTGCACTTCTAACAGTTTAACTGAACGGATACCTGCACTGCTGACAGCTTAATTGAACTGATACCTGCACTGCTGACAGTTTAACTGAGCTAATACCTGCATTGCTCACAGTTTAAATGAACTAATATCTGCACTGCTGACAGTTTAACTGAACTAATACCTGCACTGNTAAATCTAAATCTAAATCTAAATCTAAATCTAAATCTAAATCTAAATCTAAATCTAAATCTAAATCTAAATCTAAATCTAAATCTAAATCTAAATCTAAATCTAAATCTAAATCTAAATCTAAATCTAAATCTAAATCTAAATCTAAATCTAAATCTAAATCTAAATCTAAATCTAAATCTAAATCTAAATCTAAATCTAAATCTAAATCTAAATCTAAATCTAAATCTAAATCTAAATCTAAATCTAAATCTAAATCTAAATCTAAATCTAAATCTAAATCTAAATCTAAATCTAAATCTAAATCTAAATCTAAATCTAAATCTAAATCTAAATCTAAATCTAAATCTAAATCTAAATCTAAATCTAAATCTAAATCTAAATCTAAATCTAAATCTAAATCTAAATCTAAATCTAAATCTAAATCTAAATCTAAATCTTACAACTTTTAATTTGCGAAATGAGTTGGTAACCATTGAAAGAAAAGAACAAACTTAAATTTTGTTCAAGTACTAAAAGGGACTGTAAGCGTAACTTCAAGTGCCCCTCCATGCCAAGATGGCAATGTCCGATTTACATCGGTACCCTTAAAATTAAATGCGTTGTTTGATTAAGTATGAATTAGAAACATTTTGAGTGCTGTTTATTTTGGTTTGTGGTATCTCTTCAAAAGCGACTTGCGCATTTCTTGCTCATAAGAAACACATGAGAAATTAAAGAAAATTTAACACTATTCGAGTAGGAAAAACGACGTTATTTTCCGCATTTTTGATCAAATTTAGGTTACAGGGTATTGCAATATTTGCATGGAGGGTCACTTGAAATAACGATCATAGGCCCTTAAAACTCATATTTCTTCATTTAACTTTATCAGACATGCAAACTTATGAACAAAATATGTTATCCAATAAAACCGACTTAATTCAGTCCGTTTAAATCAAAAGTTACGAACAATGAAAGATTACCTGATCTAAGCTGGCCCCCAGGGTTTTCTGAGAACGTATCTCCGTTGTCTGAGTAGATGGTTTGCCGGAGTACGCTGACCGGCTGACCGACAGACATTTAACTCCGAAGAAATACTTAGAAATTCCAAATTGCTGATAAATCTGGTCGCTATGCTTCTCCGAGGAGGGGGGAAATACAGCAGTGTTGTGTAGTTGGTACTAAACAGGGTTATCTATATATATGTATAGCGTATTTGATCCATAATCCAAGGTCATTGTTCAAGCCCCACCAACTACAAAATCAAGAACGGATGAGTCTTAATGGACGAAACACTGTGTCTATGGATATATGTATATATCTTCCTAAAATAAGTTCAGAACATTTTCTATTGTTTATTTAATATAGTTTATTGCTGGACACTGTGTTTTGTGGTTCTTCAGCAGCATGATTGTGGATTTTTCAATAAAACAAGTATATGTAGTGTCTTTCTAAAGGTTAGTTTTTTTTAAAGCGGTTTATATTAATTTAAACACAAAGTTAAACTGTTTGAATCCTATATTTTTTAAATTCTACAGGTTGGGACATTTGAGAAAATATATCAATGATCTCCATTCAAGAATACTTTGTGATTGCTCAAGTTCTCCTCAAATTGAGCTCCATTCTTCGAGAACTGGCTATAGTGCTCGGCGCCGGACGTGATGTACAGTTTTATTTACATTTTCTGATTCAAGAGACTCCACAGTCTGTTTCAGATCGTCAATATCTGCATGTATGAGGAACTCTTCTAAGCTCTGCGATTGCAATACTCCAGAATCAGTGGTCTTGTTTCGCAATTTACTTAATTGATAAAACCATGTTCAGACTTTTAGAATGTTGGTTTTTATAGTTTATTTGCTAAACTTGCATTCTCTAAGTTTAATATTTTCAGAAATTATAAAGGCCAAAATGTCGTAAGTTTGCCAAATCTGAGTTTATCAATGCTAGGTATACTATTATAGTTTGTTACCAATTACTGTTACCCTGACATAAAATAGAAGACTCAAATGAAATATACAATGAGGATTTATAGATGGACAAGGACAGATTGATGAGTGCTCCATTTCCTCATTTGAGAGTTACAAGTTAAACAGAAAAAGTTAAAAAGGTTTCGGTCTTTCTAGCCTTAGAGGGCGCTTCGCGCCCATCTTCTAACTTAATTGTGAACAATGTTCTCTTTGTGTACATCGTAAAACAAAACAAAAATAATTCGCGGATTTTCACAAAAAATTACAGGTTGGGACATTTGAGAAAATATATCAATGATCTCCATTCAAGAATACTTTGTGATTGCTCAAGTTCTCCTCAAATTGAGCTCCATTCTTCTGGCTATAGTGCGCCGAGCACCAATGTTAGTTCGTCCCTTGAAACCCCTTGGCATCACAAGTTCAAATGCTACATATCTGGACTCTTTGCTGGCCAGGGGTGATCCATCATTCGGCTGATAACACTGTTGTTAAATTTATCTTTTAACCACTTCGTTTGCAGAGCTTAGGAAGGATTCCTCATACACATATTGACGATCTGAAACAAACTGTGGAGTCTCTGGAATCAGAAAATGTAAAGAAAACTGTTCATCACCTCCGGCGCCGAGCACTATAGCCTGTTCTCAGAAAAATTGAGCTCAATTTGAGGAGATCTTGAGCAATAATCTAGAATTGAGATCATTTAGATGTTTTTTCAAATGTCCCAATCTGTAGAATTTAAAAATATAAGATTAATCTAATTGAACTTTGTGTTTATATTAATATCGAAAGATTTAAAAAAGAGAAACCATTAGAAATACAATGTGTAGTGTGTATATAAGTGGAAATCTCCGTTTGTTTGTTTGTTTTTATGTTCGATCCTAACTCTAGAACCTGTGGATCAATTTGCCTTAGATTTTATTGGGAAACTCGGTAGGAGCACGGGAATGTTCTTGGCTTGGTTTAAAAGTGCTAGGTTGAGAGGGTTGATTAATAGGGAACATCTAGTTTCCCAGTAAATCTGGGTTCCCAAGCTAGAATTAACAAATGGACATTATTAAATTTTAGATTAGACATCCCCATTCCCGGCCCATGAAAAAGTTTTTTTCCATGATTAAATGCTTGATTGTATGCCCGTATAACTGTCACGTGAAGATTTTATTAGGTTTTAAAAGTTTTCTATCCATGATGAAATGTGTAATTGTATGCCCGTATAACTGTCACGTTAAGATTTTATTAGGTTTTAGAAGTTTTGATGTGTTCATGGATTTTTCAATATTAAGTCTAACAGTCGTCTTCCTCGTAAACAGGTTAAGTTCCTAATTTATTCACCTGCTGACACATGTAAGCTAGAACTTTATCTGGAGCTTGAACCATCTCCTTGAGATAGGAAATCAACCCGTAACCCTGAAGTTGCTCCGGTGGAGTCCGAGCAATGAACTCATCCGCGCTCCGGGAGGGAACCAGAGCAGCTCCGACCCTCTCCAGTTTCATGACTGATCTAGTCTGGTTGAGGAATCTGTTCAAGTCCTCCACGTCCTCGAAGAAAAATATGGTGAGATCCTTGAGCGCGATGCTGTTCTCGATATAGATAGCGTAGTCGGGGTTTATCACGTTCCCGCAGACGATGAATGGTTCGTAAACTGAAGCTTTGAAGGAGTCCTTGTTGCTCCTCAACCACTCAATCGCCTAAGTTTAAAGGGACTGTCAACTAAATTCAAGTGATTCTCTCCCCCCCCCCCCNAGTGAGAACCAGAAAACTCTGCAATAGGAAGACGACTTTTAGACTCAAGTTATGTACATTAAACACAGTAAGAGTGCAATGTAATAATACCCAATTCACTTAATAAGTCATTTAGTACGTTCTTTTAGCATTGAAACTTGACATCAAAAACTCTTAATTAATGTCGTCTTCCAATTCCAGTTTTCTGGTCCTAACTGTATTTAATATAATAATAAAGTTTGTGTTTCAGACAGGCCACCTCTCTTGTGGCATACATTTCAGTTAGATGATGGGTCCAGTTACTTTTAAACTAATAACGATAAGGACTTTACATTATTATTATTTCATTATCAATGATTTTCGGTTTAAAAATATAGACCTTGTAAGCATCCTGGCACTTTGCTTTGAGAATCTCAAGTTTACGCATATCCACGCTTTCAAGAAGACGGAGCTCGTCGCGGCATCTGCGCTGGTCAGCTTCAAGTGCACTGATTTCAAACCTAGGAATATGTTAGATATATATTTTATTAGATCAGCTTCAATTTACTTAATCTAATTCGCTTCAAGCACTGATTTCAAACCTTGAAATATATTAGTTATATTCAAATAGCCGCAATTACACTGATTTTAACCTTGGAATATGTAATATGTATTTAATCAGCTTCAAGCGCACTGATTTCAACCCTTGGAATAAGTCAGTTATAAGTACACTGATTTTAAACCTTGCAATAAGTTAATTATATTTAATCAGTTTCAAGTTCACTGATTTCAAACCTTGTTATTAGTTAGTTTTATTTTATTTTATTAGCTTCAAGCGCACTGAGTTCAAACCTTGGAATAGGTTAGTTATTTTTTATCAGCTTCAAGCGCACTGATTTCAAACCTTTGAATAGGTCAGCTATATTTAATCAGCATTTGTACACCGAGTTCAAACCTTGAAATAGGTTAGTTATATTTAATCAGCTTCAAGCACATTGATTTCAAACCTTAGTGTTCTTAAAAAGACTTTAAGCGTAATGCAAAGATGGAAATGCCCGATTCACAATGAAACCTTTATCTGAACAATATTGTGGAAGATATCGTCTGTTTTTGGTTTAAAAGGAGTCGTTTCTGATAATTCCTATAAAGTTTCTTGCAGTATAAATGCGCTGGTCACTTTTGTAAAAAAAAAAACAATTGAAAATTAGATTTCAAAATATCAGAGTCATCCGTTATCAGACAAAGCTTTCAAAGGGTGTCCTTGAGAATAGAACAATCTTGATATTCCACTTACAGTCCCTTTAAGTCCCGTCGTGAATTCTTGAAGAGAGGTTGACATAACAAAAATATAAAAATACAAAAAAATTATAATTTTTATACTTTTTCTCGCTGTAACTATTCTTCTCTAGTTCTACTTTGCGTGCAGCGTCCTGTAGTTACAAAACAAATATTTCATTTATCCATGATCTTGGTTGGATGACGAATGATGCTGATGGGAACTACAATTTTTTGTACAGGGTGTCCCACGGAACATGACAGTAACAAGACGACTTGAAGTCGTCTTAGAACTTTGAACTTGTTTGTGACATTCAGTCGTCAACCTATTTTTCCCATTTATCATAAAATTTTCCTAGTCCTGCCATTTCCTAAATGTAGTCTGCCTTTTTTTTAACTGTCAATATTACTGGAGATATTAAGCATTTCGTTCAGACTTCACTTTTATTGAATAAAACCAAAATTGACGAAATATGAACCAAATTCTTCACAACTCCGCTAATATTATTACCACCACAAAAAAGGCAGACCACATTTTGGAAATGCCAAGCCTATTAGAATTTTGTGAATATTAACTTTAAAATTTTACTTCCAAAATTAGGTTTACAAATAAATGTAACATAATTGTTAAAAACAAAGACGACTTTCAATTCGTCCTTCTACAGTCATGTTTCGTGGAACAGCCTGAATATAAAGCGTGAGTTCAGTGGCTGTCAAATAGGAAAATACTCTGTAATCCCCTGAAAGCCATTTACTTCGACAACATTTTAAATTATCACAAATCCGAATCAAGAGCTAATCAATGATCACTTTTTAAATTTTAAATTAAACATTTTAATTATTAAAATATTTAAAGTTTGTTTTGTTCCTTGGTCAATTGTTTAGCTTGTTCTATTCTCGGCAGAAGAGATTCATCCTCACCACTCTCAGATATTTCAGCCTCAAGCTCCCTAAACATTGATATTTCAGCCTCAAGCTCCCTAAACATTGATATTTCAGCCTCAAGCTCCCTAAACATAGATATTTCAGCCTCAAGCTCCATAAACATTGATATTAAAGCCTAAACATTGATATTACAGTCTCAAGCTAGCTCCCTAAACATTTGATACTTCAGCCTCAAGCTCCATAAACATTGATATTTTAGCCTTATGCTCCATAAACATTAATATTTAAGACTCAAGAGATATTTCAGCTCCCTGAATAGTTTAGAATAAGATAAGAGCATTTATATTAAAATATATAGAACAAAGAAATGGTTAGATTAGAAGTATAACAAATGAATAATTTTCTCTACAAACCTGATCGTTCTTTGATACTTCTCAATGCTTTCCTCCTTCTCTTTCTCTCGTCTATTCAATCCAAAACATGAAATTTAAAAATAGAAATTCATTTTTTTTTCTACAAAATTTTAAGTACGTAACAATTTGATTTAATTAGATCCAAAAACGAAACGAATTCATTTTTTTAAGAAATAAAAAAATTTATTTTATTTAAGGTCATGACAAAAAGGAAATATCTTGATATCTCTTTAATTGTTCCCTTTTCTATACTCGAGCTATGTAAATCCACAATTCCCTTTTTAAGAGGAAACCCACTATAATATCATCAATCTTCAAAAAGGAAAAAATGGATATCTCAATTTTTTCTTGCTAAACCTTAGATGCAACTTTTTTAATGGTGGATCACTTGTTTCATCAATAATCCTTTTAAAGGGACTGTAAGCGTAATTTCAAGTGACCCTTCATGCAATTAAGATGGCGATACCAGATTTACAACGGTACCCTTGAAACCTTAATCTGATTAAAAAATGTGGAAGTTTTTTCAGACTCAAGGTGTTTAGTTTTGATAATTTTTCCAATGTTTCTTGTAGGCGAGAAATGCGCGAGTCACTTTTGCAAAGAAACCTCAACTAAAAATAAAGAGTTAAAAAAATGAACTGGGATGTTAAATTAATACTTGATCAGACAAAGCTTTTCAGGGTAAATTCTAAATTGCCATCTCTGCATGGAGGGTCACTTGAAATTACGCTTACAGTCCCTTTAAGGGTTTTTAATTGATAAAATATGGATTTAAATGGTTCCTTCGGATATGAACAGCTTGATCTTGAATATTCTCCAGTTCCCTCTCAAACCCTTCAATCCTCTGGCTCTGGAACTTGGCCTTGTTCGTGCACTCCTAGATTAGGTATGAGTCTATGTAGAGTTCACTAGGGCCCCGGGGGGGGGGGGGGGGTCTGTTGATGAGAAAATAAATATTTTTTCTTTGTTTTGTTTAATTAATGAAAACGAGATGTTAAAAACTTCATTGCTTTTTTTTTAAATAAAAGAAATATTCCTAAATAAATACCAAATCGTTTTACCTTGATAGTTTCCGAGTCTGTAACATTAGCATTAGTCATCTTCTCAATTTTCTTCTTCAGCTCATTTACTTCAAGTTTCAGAGGTTTTAAACCCTCTTCGTTTCGATCTTTCGTCTCCTACAATCAATACAGTTGATAATGTACATAACAATAGATATATAATTTTAACAGAGCCCTGAACTTGTGAATGGAATAAATTAGTTAAAGAGTTAAAATCGTCTTTGACTCCCGAGATTAGCTCAGGGGAGTTAACTCTAACCCAGTCTCCATTGGTCACAGTTTGAAAATTCAACAAATTATATTTCTTTAAGTATCAGGTTTATGAGTTTAGCTCCATAACTAAAATTCAACATCAGAAGTTAAACCTTTAATATAAATTTTGCCTTGTATTTTAAGCCTCCAATTAACGTCAAAACAGATAATCCGATCAGGCCAAATTGTGATAACTCAAAATCTACATTCCACAATCCAAATGAACCAAGGAAGGTTTGTGGCCAGTAAAATTCAAAATCCATCAATTTTAACAAAAAAAATCAGAGACACAAAGCCTAATATTACAATCAGAGACACAAAGCCTAATATTACAAATTTTAATTCATAGTTTAGAAATAAAAAAATCGACGAATACTGCTACAACGGATTTTAAAGTTTAAAAAAAACATTATTTTTTCATGTTAATCGTGTACCTTTGCTTTCTTATAAGTTTGATTGATCTCGTAGCAGGAGAACTTGGAAGATTCGAATACACTCCAGACTCTCTTCTTGGACAAGGATTCTATCTTCTCCAACAGTTTACGCTTCTCTTCGAATGCCTGACCAAAGTGGATACTATGACAGTAACTTAATGGGTATTAAAAAAAGAATTTACCAAGTTTTGACAAATTAGCCCCCCCTTCTCCTTTTCCATGACATGGGGGGGGGGAGAGAAGAGAGAGAGAGGTGGCGCTGTCCTTTACAGAATTCTTAATTTCTTAAACCTGAATTCTTTCTTTAAAAAACTTGATTTTAAGCAAGGATTGTCCTTGGTTAGTTTGATATTTGATTGGTAGTGGGCTAGGGGGGGGGGGGTGTCGAGGTCTCTACGAAATGGAACACAAAAAGTTTAAAAAGAACAAGAATGTTTATTTTTTTAAAGATTTTGATCAACAAAACCGAAATTGGAGAAAACTCTGGGTTAAAGTACATTTGCAAAATTAATTTGTAATTCAGCTCTGTGTCATCATAACACTTAAAAAATTCGCCAAATTTGTCACTTTTTTAAAAAGATATTTCCAGGGGAGGGGCACCCCTAGGAGAGGGGTGGGGGGGGGGGGGGGTGTACATCCAATTCTACCTTTACTTCCTCTTCCATTTTGTCACACTGTTCGATCTTCTCTCCTAGGATCTGAACCTTCCTGTAAAAAAAAGATTAAAAACCAATAAAAAAAAAATTAGCGATTGGTAAATATTTTCAAAGGTGATTTTCGATGCTCTGTGGATAAAAAAAAATTAAAAGTTGGACATCAAAAGGCAAGGTTTGAAGGGGTTTCAGTACTTTTTTAACCCAAAAGATTATTTGTTTCACAGAAAAGTCATTAATTTCCCAAATTCAGCGAATAAAACCCTAACAAACCTTAGATCTAAGAAACAAAATTATTCTAGAAAATATTTACCCCTGGCAATGTACTTTTACCTTTCTTCAAAAATTCCGAATTTTTTTGGCCTTCCACTCAAATCTACAGCTATTAAGGATATTTAACAATTTTTTAAGATGACAAATCTATGTTCTAACTGTGAAATGTGAAATTGTTTGAAACGAAAAATTATTTATTTACTCAGATTCCGAATTCAGGATTTACCGTAAAAACTCTTATTTATTCAGGGGTGTATATTCCCTAAAAATCATTCACCATTATTGAAAATTATTATTGAATGGGGGGGGGGGGAAATAAATAAATTTTTGGGTAAACAGAGTTACAAAGATGATTATTTAAAAAAATCAATTTTGTTTAACCTGTTATGTATTTCCTCTCCTTCTGTCAAATCCTTCTGAAGTTCCTTGAGTTCCCTGTGTTTCTCCTGCCGCAATCATCAAAGTAAATAATCAAGGATCAGGGATATATATTTTATTGAAAAATCACCCCCCCCATCTTTGAAATAATTTTTCCTGCCCCAGCACCAAATTTTTTTCTTCATGTTTTTGCTGAATTTGGGAAAATAAATGATTTTAAGCAGAAAATAAACAAATTTGTGGGAAAAGTATAAAGAAAGAAGAAACATGCTTTACCATGTACAATTTTTCATTCCCCCCCCCCTCTCTAGATCTCCAAAAATCATTACTTTTGACCCCCTCCCCCCTCCCAGGGTGGGGGAATAATTCTTACAAATATACAGTATTCACCCGTGTCAATGATCCCCGAAATACAAGTAGGAAATATCAAATATGACAAAACTATGTCTTAGCCAATATTATAATGGGTTCAGATTATTTTATGTCCGAGAATTTTAATTTTGATTTAAGTGAACCTCAGGGCAAAGATGACAATGCCTGATTTACAATGATACCTATGAAACCTTAATCTGATAATGAAGATAATGTTGTTTTTCTGACTCAAAAATTCGGATAATTTCTCCAGTCTTTCTTTCAAGCAAGAAATGCGCAAGTGACTTTTGCGGAGAACCCCCTACTGAAAACAAACAGTTTGAGAAAAAAATCATTGATATCTCTAAGTCATACTTGATCAAACAAAGATTTGAACGAAACCGTTCTAAATCGGACATTGCCAGTTTTGCCTTTGAAATTAGGCTTACAGTCTCTTAATTATTCATCTTGAATAATAAATTGATGCTGTTCCTTGAGTCCGGTATCTCCAACAGCATCTATAGTATTGTCCAGAAGACCCTTGTTATTCAGCCTCGAGAAATCATGAACCTTGTCCTAAACAAATCATGCAATCATGAACCTTGTTCTAAACAAATAATGAACCTTGTCCTGAACATATTATAAAATCATGAACATTGTCCTAAACAAATAATGAACCTTGTCCTGAACATAATATGAAATCGTGAACACTGTCCTAAATTAATAACGAACCTTGTCCTGAACATACTATGAAATCATGAACATTGTCCTAAACAAATAATGAACCTTGTCCTGAACATATTATGAAATCATGAACATTGTCCTAAACAAATAATGAACCTTGTCCTGAACATATTATGAAATCATGAACATTGTCCTAAACAAATAATGAACCTTGTCCTGAACATATTATGAAATCATGAACCTTGTCCTAAACAGATCATGAAATCATGAACCTTGTCCTAAAAAAACCATGTAATCATGAACCTTGTCCTAAACAGATCATGAAATCATGAACCTTGTCCTAAACAAACCATGAAATCATGAACCGTGTCCTTCCCAATTCTTGTAATCATGAACCTATTTGATTGAAACTAACCTGGGACAAAAACTGGCAAAGATTAAGTCTAACCTGGGACAAAAACTAGCAAAGATTAAATCTAACCTGGGACAAGAACTAGCAAAGATTAAATCTAACCTGGGACAAGAACTAGCAAAGATTCAATCTAACCTGTGACGAGAACTAGCAAAGATTAAATCTAACCTGGGACAAGAACTAGCAAAGATTGAATCTAACCTGGGACAAGAACTAGCAAAGATTAAATCTAACCTGTGGCAAAAACTGGCAAAGATTGAATCTAACCTGTGGCAAAAACTGGCAAAGATTGAATCTAACCTGTGGCAAAAACTGGTAAAGATTAAATCTAACCTGTGGCAAAACTGGCAAAGATTGAATCTAACCTGTGGCAAAAACTGGCAAAGATTGTCGACTTGAATCCTTAGTTTTGAAACTTTCTCCTTCACCTCCTTCTCAGATACTTTCTTCCCGTCCATACTCCAAACATTCTTTCCTGTTTATTAAACATTTTTTTTAGAAGCTATTTTAACAGATCAAAACAAAATTGTACAAAATTATTTTATTAGTATTTCCGTATTCCAATATTTCTTGGGGGCTCGGGCAGTGCTTAGGATCCATTTAATTTTAATTTTAAATTTTGGGTTTGAGAGTAAATTTTTTTTTAATGTTTTAGTTGATAGTTTGCCCCTTTGGATCCGGATCTTAAGCACTGGCCCCTCCCGCCAGGTTCTTTTATGTTTACAGGCTTAGAAAACAGCGTTAATTTAACGCGTTTCTCTATTAATTGAAAGCTATTCGATATATCTTCCTAAATCGGTTTAAGTAAACCTTAAAATTCTAAATAACGTCTTGTTTATCAAGTTTTCTAATATTAACCTGATATATTCCAGTTCCGACGAATGACCAGATTCTTTCCGTTCTTCTGGAACAGTTCTATCTCAATTGTTGCCTAAATAATATTTTCTAAAATTAAATAACAGTTAAAAATGTAAAAATGATCTTTTATAAAAGCTAATATGTAAAAATTGAAAAAAAAGAAACGTTCTTTCACTAAAAAAATGGTTTATTGATATGAAATCTTCAAATTGACAATTAACAAAAGGGGTTTATCGCTTAATGAGGATAATAAATTATCTTAAGACAAAAATAAATAAACTTCAGGAGTAAAAGTACTATTAGGGAAAAAAATATGCCCATAGAAATCTTATTTTAACCCCCCCCCCTTCCCTACAAAATAATTTCTTATTTTTTTTTTCAATCTTCTTTTTTTACCTCCTCTTGTCCGACCAGGATATAATCAGCTAGAGTTGTTGCCCGGCCCAGGACACTGAGCTTTCCAGCTAAACCGATACATATTCCGTTCACTTTATCAAAACCAGAATTAATAATCAAAATTTAATCGTCAATTACTGTTCGAAAAATCAAATAATAAGGTTCCTGAAAAATAGATTTTTTAATATTTTAGTAGAAGGAACAGTAGACGTAATTGCATGTGATTATGTATATAGAGTAGAATTTTCTATTCACCACGGGACTCAGGTTTTTTTTCTGAAAAACAATCAGAATAGTAGTTTTCCTGTAAAGCAAGCTAGAAAAACAAATATATCTCATTTAATTATTGAATAATACAACAACATAGTTTTAACTGACTGTTAACCTAAATAGACGTCCTTATTTTACACTCATTTCTTCATATTAATTATTCAATTCTCTATCCTATGGTTGATTTTCCGGACCCGTTAGGTCCGATGATCACGTTGAGATTAGGACCCAGCATAAACTCTGTATCACTGTACTGCATGAAGTTTAAAAACTTCAGCCTGAAATAAAGTAGTCATCTATCTATATACTTTGCTTGTTTTTTATTTAAATATTTAAAATTTTTTATTCAATTAACGTGATAACGACAGAACCGATACGGATTTTTAATTTTTGTGGAAACTTACAAGGGTTAACTTTATGTCAGAGTTTAAAAAACGTACTTAAAACAATTCTATTTTTTAAAATCCACTAAAATGCGACCCAAAAATTAACAAAAAAGACTTAATTTACAAAAAAATAATGGTTTACGACCCTGCATTTATTAAAATGTAATTATCTGTGTACACAAGTTATGAGGTGGGGGGTAACAAATTTTGTCGATTTTAGTTACTGTGCTTTGTTTGGCAAGTGCCATATGATTTGTAGAACTTCAGAATTTTCTTTTGGCCTTTCATGTTTTTTTATGTTTAAATTTGTTATACAGACAAATCATGAGTTGCGATGATACGGATACAGCTTTACTAAATCGGATACTGGAGGGAGGAATTGAAGCAGGTTCTAAATCAATTTAGAAATACTAAAAAAAAGCTTGTATTGATATTTATATAATTTCTTTTTGTCAAGTTGCTTGTGATGTGGAAAATATAACAAGGAAGTTTGATGAGAGTCAGATCGACCAAGAAACTTCAAACAGGCAAATTTATCAAATTCCCCCCCCCCCCCCTCTTCTTAACAGCATTTTTACACTTACATCTCTCTTTAGCCGGAGGAAATTTTGGAAATAACTTAAATCTGTAAATTACATAAGAACAGAGGCCGAATTTAATGAATTTGAGTCGTGGCTCAAATCCGCCTTAAACCGGTTTAAATCTTGAAACATTGAATACAATTTTAAGTCGAACCAACCGTATTTGAGCCGCGTCGCAAATATAAGCCGAGACTCAAATTCTTGAAATTCGGCGTCAGGATCAGTGCTTTCCAAAAGGCTTAACAATTTTAAAGTTATGACCTCTGGGAGACAAAAAGAAAAGGGGGGTCAACTCCCAAGAAAACTGTGATGGTGGGGGGGGAAGCACCAAGAGAAACTTGTGAGCGAGGAGAGGGTGGAGCCCCCCGAAATAATTTTTTTTTTTACAATTTGCATTGTGAGTAAGTATTTTAAGTGCTCAAAATAACAAATCACGCTTAAAATATTTAGAAATATTTCCACCTTAGTTAGAACTTTACTTTTAAATTTTGAACTCAGGAATCTCATGCAAGAAAAATTTTGACATATAAAAGAATTAGGATTAGGTTTTAAGATGTAAAAAACGTTTTATAGAGCGGGATGTTCTTCTATGATTTTTCAGTATTTATATATATTATGGAAAATATTAAAATAGGTTTTTATTAAATTACTTTTTGTTATTATTTTTCTTCTAGGTTCGTGTCTGCTGTACCGAGTCAAGCTAACAATAGTCTAACCTTCTTTATGGACGAGGAGGCTGGGGAAGCTCAGGATTCATCTTCGGAGGAAGAGGAGACCCATCCTCATATGCCTGAAGACAGGGTAGGTCATTTTTCAGTAGCCTCCCCCCCCCCCCC